GGGGGGTGAAGCTGTTATAAACTGAAGATTTGAAAAGGTGCAGCTTCTTTGAGGTGAGCGAGTCGGAGTAAATCAACACAATAACACAGGAATTTAGTTCGCAGAAAAAGTAAGTCAGAAAGCCTAAAAGGTCACAAGAAACCATCTTTGTACACAAAAATGAGGACAGACAGAAGGCAAAAAATCACAGCACAGGTCAGACAAATATATTTTTATGTCACATTAGGTTTATCGAGACATTAGCTTTCATCAAACAAACCCTTAGTGAAAACTTCAGAAACATCAAGTCATTTCATATTTATGTAGTCACAGAACATAGCACCGTCCTTCAACATCAATCAGCACTTGTGAGAAAAAATCCTGAACAGATCAGGGATGACAAAGGAGACATCTAAAGAAAGAAATTTCTTCGTTGGCACCAAAAAATAAAACTCCCCCAACAATTCCTATGACTTAATTAAAATTAAAGAGTAAAACAAATCAAGCAGTGTTCATAATATCAAAATGTGTTCCTGTAGAATGTTCACAAAAACAACCTTCTCATAAATTTTAACATAATATCATCATTCTAAACAAAATCTTACAGTTTACAGGCTTTACCAATAATGGATTTTGCTTAGAAATAGATCTAATCTGATAAAATTACTTTCAGCTATAACCACGCCTCATGCCTTTTTTCTATTCTCCATCAAACTTGAAAGAAGGTAGAAAACTAAAAAGATCTTTACCTCACCAAAAGCAAAATACACCGTAACAATAACAAATACACATCAATACCTGGAGTTCTTATAATATCTTGACATCAAGACCACACTATGTCAGCATTCTATTCTCCTTACAAAAACTAAAACAGTCATACATGATACACAGTGCAGTAGCATATTTAAAACACAGAAAAGTGTATATTCCCTTACAATATAACTTTCAACCAAAAAGAAATTGTGTATAATTCACTCACATGATGTCAACATTTAAACATTTACAAAAGAAATTATGAGAAGCTCATTTTCTCAGTCATCAACAACTCCTTCCAGTTAGACAAGCCTCCCCCTTTCTCAACCACTCTCACTTCCCCCAAGGAATATTCCTCATTATATATAACTTTCCACAATTTTATTGATTAGATGCCAATAGATAGCCTGTCATTTGCAAGTTATTCTCTAATAACATTCTCTTTAGAATATTAAGAATAAGGGTGCTAATGACGAACATTAACTCCAGTACAGTACGCTATAGGCCTACTCGGAAAAAAAAGCCCAAAACTTCTTCAGTCATCTTTTTTACTGTCCTCTCACATGCCAGAATTTGTATTGTGACAGCTCCAAGACTAGATCTAGAAAATTATTGATAATTAATACAGACTGCAACAAAAGTTGAGGACCACCTTGACAGACAGCCTTGATTTTTTTTAAATCCGAAAAAAAAGACAGAAAGGAATGTTTCAAATTATTTTGCTCTGAAAGTGTTAATGGGTTACCAATGTGAACTGCAAAGCTTCCTTAAGGGGCAAAACCACCACTTGCTGCACGCAAATCCTCTGGGAATTTTAGCCACATTTGCTGTTTTTTTATCGACTTGTGTGCGACAACACGGACATTCCTCAGTTATAATTTCTAGCGCACGTCATAAACGGACGTACGGTCTCGAACTGTGCTCACTTTGGTGGCAATATAAGCAGCCATTTGCTCAAAATCCGGTATCGCATCAACATGCCACCAAGACGAAACCTGGGAGACTTTTATGGTTCCAGAGCTATGGCACGGCTGCAAGATGGAGTTGGAGCCCGAGAAGTTGCCAGAAGGCTTGCAGTGTCACACTCTGTCATTGTCCGCCATTGCATCCATCTAAGAGCGCCCACATGCAGGTCGACCCAAGAAGACCATTTGAAGTCGGCAGTATTAAAAAAAGAATTTTTTTTTTGTCCCAATACCATATTTCTATACTATTAGTTGTTTTTTAAAATCAGAAGCAAGAATAGCTTTCAAAAGTACAACTCTCTGACTCTTCTTCACTGATTCAACACAATCAGAATAAAGAAGAATGTCACCATGAGTGAATGAAACTCTCTAAGAAACAACCGTCTCTAAATGGTATCAAAGCAAGTGAAAGACAAAAGTTTGTGTCATATATATATCAATGGCGTTATGCTCTAACTGCATAGTAACTGATTTCTTAACCCCTTCGTAGCCTTATAACGTATCACAAAATGGCCTAATTTTAAACTTTGTGCCATAACATGGACGTCGGCAAAATTTTCCATTCCTATGTCGCCTGGAAGACCTTACATGTACGTCACACTGATCACCTGGCTCTAATTCTTCTGTATGGAGATTAAGCCACAAGCATAGCGTGGAGTCACATGTGAGGCATCGTGGTGAAATCAGGCCCTCGTCAAAATAATGAAATAAAGAAATCAGCATTTTTTTGGCCGATGGACAAATTTTTTCTAGTTGTCTGTTTTTGGCTCAACATTTGGCAATTCAAATACACATTTTTGAGTGGATTTTACAGAAACACGTTGATTAAAGGTACTAAAAATGTAAATTTACAGTTTCCCTCGACTCTCCATCTTTGGAAGTCACCAAACTTTGGTGGCCATTTTCTTGCTAATTTTACCTCCGAAACAATGGGGGCCTCCACCTTCTTCAATCCAAAATATCTCCACTTCTATTGAAGATAAATGGGTTATTTTCTCATCGAAAGAAAGACAAAAGAACCACCTTTAAGATGATTCCAATAACTCCATTTGCCCAAAAACTGACGAGCGCCTGATTCCACCGCGTTGTGACACATATTGGGATTATAAAAAATGTGCATATTGGTACCAAATTGGCTAGTTTTAGTTTACTGCTATGCTTGCAAGTGATCATTAAGATATAGATACATGTATACAAACCCCCATATACCACCTACCTTGGTACGAGCATAAAGTAGGCAGTACAACAGATGGTAATAGGACAGCACTGATTATCATCTTGACTTGTAGTAGACTGGTAGAGAAAAGAAACTAGAAACAAACTGTGACCAGCCTTGTCTCATCTAGATCGGTCTTGCGCGATTGCCATGCGCAGGGGAAAAAAACAAAACAAGGAGTAACCAACAATTACATGTACAACTGCAGTAAAGCTTTACGTAAATTCCAATTTAAAGAAGCTAGGATCAGAAGCTAGGATCAAAAGCTAGGCTATATGTGTCAAGGACCCTGTAGACATACGTTTTTGGGGGTTTTGTTTTGTTTTTTCAACCCAATACTCATCAGTCCTTGGGTCACCTTAGAACTGCCATGGAGACTTGAACGTGATTCTGCATTATAAGTCAGTTGGTCATCAGGCGATGCCAGATACTTTGCCAAGGTGGCACAACTCCTTTGAAATTTCTCCAGGCGACTTTGAAATTTCAATCCACTTTTTTGTAATCACCAAGGCCTAAAAATAAAATCTTCATAATCAGTGCAAATTAGGAGCAAATTGACAACAAGTACTAGAAATAGGCTGAGCTCACAAAAATGTTTGTGGGAAACAGATTATCAGGCAACCACGAATTGGGTGCTGTGCGCCATGTGTAGTGTGTGCCCCTGGCAGCCAGTTTGCAGGTGGTACAGCACGGAAAATTCACATTAGTTTAATAAGGACCACACACCTCAACAAGTTGGTGGATGGTGGTGTAATGGCGTAAATACTTTGTTTAAATAGGCATTCCTCGTCATACATTGGCAAAACCTGGCGGTAAGTGGGGCTGGCGGTGTAACAGACGCAGTATAATGAGGTTTGTCTGTATAAAGTCTTGCAGATGATCACATGCTCTTGCAAAACATAAACACCAAAATTACTTTTAAATAGGCATAAAATTTCACTTTTGACTTACATTTGCTAGGGGTTTTTTTTTAAGGTAAGATGGGGAATAATGAAAAAGAGGAAAGTTACACCATTGACGACCCGCAGTCCAAAATATGTCACAAGTGGGCTAGATCTAGACCGCAAGTCCACTAACACAGAGACATGAGACTGTTTTAGTTTAGGTAGAGGTTTTACGGCACTCGCAAATGCATAAGGTCATATGAGCGCCAGAAGATTAGAGGTGTTTCAAGGGAGTAACAAACATAAAAAAGGAGGGGAGATAAAGACGATGGATGTTTGATAGGAAAGAAGGAGTAAACCATACCAGAGCACCTGCCAACCACCCACAGACATGTGACTGCTATCCTGGCTCATGAGTATATATATATATATATATACTAATGAAAGTGCAAGGCAACTCCTGATTTTTATTGAGGATCTATAGATCAACCTAAGCAATGGTTTAGACCAAAACAAGAGCTGGCCTATTTCTTCCAGTTACAGTTAGATCCTAACACTATTGATGTACAGAACTATGACATGTTCCATCCTCACTCAGTCATCTAGTACACTGTCCAGCCAGTCCTCAAGTTGAGCACTCTCAGCTTTGCTACCTGAAACATACAACATGGACACAATGTGCTATCTTGCTATACAAACAATCTTCATCAAATTCACCAAAGGAACTTAAAAGAACAAAGACTAAAAAAAAATCTTCACAGAGTGCATTTTTATCTTTAACCTTAATAGAAGAAAGACTGCATTACTGCACAAAGCTTATTCGAATTTCACCCTTTTCGGGAATAGAAATTACAAATGATGCTGATTAATTTCTCTCCACAAAAAAAAATATATTGAGGCAGCTTGGCTTTTTCATTTGAGAGAAAGGTTGAACTTTCACAACAGCTCACACTACTTCTCACAACATATTTAGAGTACCGGTATTTTGAGCATGCCAGTACAAGAGTATGCTGAATCTTAAATGGTTCTTTCAGTTGAGTCACTGTACACCTGCTACTCCCAGAATATTGTAAACATCAGTGTAAGTGTGCATGTATGTATTACCCTTTGTGTACATTCCACTGTGAGGGAATAATGTCTGTTACAGATTTTAAGCCTATTGCTGCTGAAAAGGGTGAAAGAATTCATTAAGAGGGAGCAAAGAATTCACGAAACACAAGGCTAAAATAAAAGGTAGTATTTAGAGAAGTATTCTAACTTGTCTCTGGAGCTCATGCTTTACCTCAAAATAAAGCTCAGCTTAATTGTTAGGAGTAAAATAAACTTGATCCGGAAAACTGAGGAATGACTATAATGATTTAAATGGTTAAAGCAAAGTTGAGCCCCCCATCTCAAACTGCTTAATATTGTACAAAACATCCAGATTCATCATGAGGAGTCACAGTATGCAAGTTCCAAGGAACAGGAAAGAGTCGCAGTATGTTCCAAGAAACAGGAAACAGCATGCTGTGATCGTCTTAATGCCCAAAAATGTTGGGAAAGCTTTATTTTTACCACAGTGATGATGCATATCGCTAGCCGCGTGATTCAACCGCCTAAGTGACAAAATTTTCTAAAATCACTTTTTGATTCCTTTATGTAGTACAGCCTTTGATCCACCTTATGTTAAAATCCCGAGTTAAAAAGATTACTGCAAAGTGTTTCAATCCTTCAGTAAATCAATCACCTATATCACACCAGTCCCCAATTTCCACGTGATTCAAATACCCAAGTGCCAATTTTGCAGCCCGGTGGCAAATGGGTGGTTGGATCACGCAGATTCAACGGCTTGTTGAGGTTTTCACCTGTTGCGTAGGCGGCACGACCCACACGACTGTGGCCTGTTTCAAACCAGACTACAGGGTAACATCAAAACAAGCCTTTCCTAACTTCGACTCAGATCGAACCCTATCGATAGCCAGAAGATTCTGTCAAGGCAGTTTGCGTCATCTATCACTAGGTTTGGTAGTGTTGTTGAGAAAAGGCAAGATGACATCAAAGAATATGTTAATACTGTCTTGACCAAATCGGTAAATGGAGGCAAAAGCTACTGACAAATTAATTTTTTTTTAAAGTCTAAGATTGACAGCCAAGAGGCGCTCATTAATTCACATTTGGTTCAACTATTGGAAAATATTGTTATCGTGACTTTTTGCGTTTCTTAACTTGCTTTAAGTGTGAACCCCTTGCTGTGTCTGTCATGTGCAATTCTCCATTCATTAATTAGTAAATCAGTGCCGGGTAAATGATACTTAATTTGTCACTCCAAAAAAAGCAACTCATAAACATATTCAAATTCTCTCTTCAACAAACCTTCAACTTCAACTCTCCAGTTCTACACTTCAATTTGAAAGAAATCTCATACATTCTACCAATATGCAAAACAATGAGTTTGTATACAACTGCTCTCACGCAGTGGTTATTCATGACTGTTGCAAAGACAGTTTACATGACTTGGAGATGGGAACTCCACGATTGGCAAATTACCAGAGAGCAGAAGAGGACAAGCATTTTTGTGATAAGTAATTCTTCGGCAGACTTGACGAAATTGCTTTCCCATTACAACAGACAGAATACAGGCAAAATCTATCATGACTTACACTTTCAAAGCCTCAGAGGCCTTTATAGAGAGTACCAAAGAAAACGGAAAGAGTCACACATTGTCCCAGACGACTTTAGAGAGACTTCAAAGAGAGCAACCTGTTGTATGTATGTCGGAAGGATCAATGTGATGTATGCAAGGTAGGAGAAAGAATCTAACAACAAGCTTGCACAAAACCCAGTGGATGGGACCAGATTATGTCTAGTGTACAAGGACTTGGAAGCGGATTTGTTAATATGACGTTGAACGCATTTGCTGCACTATAACATAACAAGACTAAATGAGCTGTCTATATTTTAAAAAATTTGGTAATCAAATAAGTAAAGAGTCACATTTGGCACCAAGGAGAAGGACCATTGATTGCCAATGAATTCTCTTCTTGTGTCAGTAACTTCGTGGAGGAGCCTATTGACAATGTCATGTTCATTATACAGTTATGGTTGTACTTATCAGACTACAACGCTATCTTGTCAAATGCAACTAGCGACATTTGTACAAGATAGAACAAAACTGTTGAACACAAATACCTTGAAAAAGAAAAAACGCAAATGGAAGTGGACAGCACACACAGTGTAATCGAAAGGTTCCTGAAAAATGGTATGGTCTATGAGCTCATGGATAATCTTGAACATTTTTAAGAAAGCAAGATGATATGCCCCCCCCCCCCCCCATATGTTCGATTCCTGGACAATTCAGACCTGATCGAAACAAAAACGACCCTGTTGTCATGTCACAAACATTCGTTCCCTTGGACTCACACTGAATAAAAACCATTAAGATGAGTGGTCTTTTTTACCAACCCCATGAGGCCAAAAACAGTCCTGCCCCAGATAACCCAACCAAATAACTCAAATAATTACTCTTAACTTTATAATTACTCTTACAACTATTATGATTTGCTTTTGTCGATTACCCCAACATTCGTCAAGTGGCGTTGATTAACGAGAATCAAACACCTAGACGCCGTCATACTGTCACTTAGGCGGTTGAATCACACAGATTTTGGTAGGTCTAAACTGCCTATGTCCAGTATCTTATGAAAGAAAGCTTTTTTCCAAAAAAGTTAGATACAGATCAACGTCCTGCATCATATAATAAAATATATCTGAATTTCAGATTCATAGGTACGAGCATAAAGAAATAAAACAGTTTTTTGCTTCCTCTGAAAAATTTGTCTTTTGGCACTTAGGCGGTTGAATCACGCAGCTAGCGATATGTAAATTTTCATAAGCAAACACAAAACAAATTCTTACTTGTCTTTTGAGCTTCATGCGTCGCCTGCTGGGGTGCTGCACAGGCCTCTATGCTTGGAGTATCCAACTCAAGTAGTGAGTCCAGATCTAATTCTTCCGCCACTTTGTCCGGCACAGCCTTAACAACAATGGAATCCCCTATGTTCTGAGGTTCCAACTTATTTGGCTGGCTGACCGCAGTGTCAGCATCCAGCTTCCCGCTCTCCTGCCGGCCAACATCAGGTATGTCAAGGTCAAGTAGAGAGTCTAGATCGAGTTCTGGTTTAATGTATTTGTCTGAGTGGGACCCAGTTCCAATCACGCCATCGGAAGTCTGTCCAGTCAGACATACAGCCTTGTTATTTCGATCATCAGAAGAAGAGGGACAGTCTGTGTTTTCAGCAGTTTTTGATGAAACCATCTCATTTCTTTGGGCTTTGTCCGCTTCCTGCGAATTTTTACTGTTTCGTAAACTAAAAGATAATAAGTCTCTTTTAATCACTGTATCACTAGAAATCATGGAGACTTGTTCAGTGGTATCATCAAGGCCTGATAAAACATCAACTTGTTGCGAAGGTTTCAACTTGTCATGGAGTTGTTGTTGAGATATGTCATGATGATTTCTTTCAAGATCATACTGTGCCTGCTTCTCAGAGGCTCTTTGAACAGAATTAGCCAGTTCTTCTGCCTGTAAATTTGTTCAAGAAAAAAATTAAGAGCAAAAATTGAACATGAATAACTTTATGCTAAAGCACACCTAAAATGTATACTGCAATTTAAAAAAAAAAAAGAATGTACAAGATTTGAAAAAAACTGCATTGCTGGTTTGGAATTATTTCTTTCTCAGTCCTCCCACAAAATCGGCAAAAGTGGTGTAATGGGTAGGCTCCTCGCAGTTGCCAATAAAAAACGAAGGTTCCTTAAAAATGAGGGGAGGCTTTTATCCAGTATCCTCATTTTTCTGCAGAAATGCTGTATCCCTCTCTGCCAGGACTGTCCCAGACAGACTGAGTCGAAACAACCCACTCTGCTTAAATGGGGAAAAAATGTGTCAATTGGTGCATAATTTATAATTACAATTTTTTTCTCCAGCCAACACATGTCACATGCAGCTGATGATCTAAAGTCCCCGGTTACATGCAACGATAAATTGTATCTGATTCGTCATATGCGAGAACTGTCTGTTTTATCGAATTGTGTTGTCTGTTTACACGTTCCAATCTATCATATAGTTTTCTTTCAAACGAGTAGATTCCTCACCATAAAGCCACCATGTCTCTTCATGACGACAGGGATTTGCCTGCACTTTACGTGAAGGTTTCGAGCCAGGGACCTAATAAATGACTGAAGTGGAAGGGCGAACACTGTCCCTCTAGATTACGAGAGCCACCCCCTCCCCTGTACATTTTGATAAATAGCAGAACAATCATTGTTAAATGTCTTTAGAAAAGGTTGGCCATACTGCGCCGTGCAGTGGGTAGAAGTAGAAGCACTGACCTGACTGCAGATGTGCAAAGCACCGAGTGACTTGATCACAACTTCACCATTGACGATCAATTAAATAATAAAATTGCTAAAATTTACATAATATCGCATCAAATCAGGTTCCCCGCCAGCTATTCTGCTTATTTTGAGACACTGATTCCGAATATGAAATCATTTTTAACCCCTTCAATGCCGCAGGTATATAGGCCCCGGTGGCGGGGGAAATCCATGAACCTAGGCTGCTCAGGGGTGACCCCACTCTACCTCTCATAACTTTTTTCTTTATGAATATTTCCTCATGAATTTCTGAATATATACATTCTACATTGAACAACATTTCTATTGATATGATTTTGGAGGGATTTCATTGAGAGATAGATGGAGAAAAGTTGGAGTTAGTAACATGATGCCAAAAACAACACCACCGAACAACATAAACAACACACATTCGAGTAATGATAAACTGATACCAAAAAAAGGGGAATACAGGTTGTGATAGTGTAAAGAAAAAGTGAGAAGAGACTTTTCCTACCTTATGCAACCCTCGTACAATCCATATATATATACACATGTAAGCCCATCTGTGTTTACAGCCAGTAAATCAGTTTTGTGCGGTAGATGTGTATATCTAGATCTAATCTTCTCTTCGAACTAAAATCTGAATCTGACACTTTCAAATGTGGGAAAAATAGAGGCGAACACAAAGGGAAGGAACCTCAATAATAATTACAAGATTTTGGCAGTAACTTCCCTTATAATTGGTATCAAAACAACCTCCGTCACAGTCCCGTAATTTCTGCTGGCCATAGGCACAACGCTACACGGTTCAGGTCAGTAAATTCTACGGACACGGCAGCAAAAAGGTTAAGATGTGATAATTATTTTTAAAATTTTGCACCCCAAGTTTAATCCTGCGCGGAGGCAAATTTCAAAGTGATTCTTCGTCACAGCGCGTCTCCCCAAAATCTGAACGTGATCGCACGGAAAATATCAAGCAGCGCTTGATTTCTTGACTGAGTGTCCAAGCCATCGTCCAATCATCCAAATTTTGTACAATTTTGTGGTTACACCTAACGATTTATCGAATGATCGCTACATCGTCCACTTTTTGTACAATTTATCGTTACATGTAACCGGGCCTTTAGGGTTGAGGAGCAGCCAGTGCCAGATGGGGGTTCAAACTATTAACCCAATTTTCTCCATCAAAAACTGCTAATCTCCTTTGATTTTTCACAATGAAACAAAAGATCCATGTCCATAATTTATCATTCCAACAGCTTGATGGGATTTCTGAAGTGGTTGCATGTGTGTGTGTGCAAATTCAAATTGAAAATGTCATGCACTACCAGATCAGAGGCTACTAGTCAAAAGCATGCTACATGAAATCTGCATGACAAAGGTGGGAAGATAGGATTAGTAAGGAGGAAGCAAACCAGCAACAATTGCTTTCTCACAGAGTCATATGTGTAATAGAAAGGCAGCTTTTCACGGCACTTTTACCGAATGAGCAGCATGTGTAGCGTGTGCCTCTGACAACCAGTTTGCTGGAAGTGCTGCTATGCAAATTCACATTAGGTCAGTTTGAACCATACAACTCAGATAGTTGGAGGAGGGCGGATGACCATTTAAACAGGCAAAATATGTGTTTGTATGACCATTCCTTTTTGTGCATTGGCAAAATCTGGAGGTAACAGAGATGAATGTAAAACTTGCTTTACATCTATATTTATGAATAAATTTCAAAGTTACATTCCTTCATGAATTTCACGAAAAACATGTGAAAATTGATACAATATGAACACAGAAATGTAAGTGCCTCAATCAAAGCCAAGAAAAGAAAGATGACTTGCCTTACTATTGTTGTTAGGAAGCACACAGCTAGGAGGAAGTAATCATTTTTATTGGAAAAGTAAACATGACACTTTACGGTAATATTACATCAGTCCAACAAGCAAAGCTCAAAATACAGTAAACTCCAATCAAAGGACATGATTACTAAAACTATGAGTCATCTGTTTTCAACGGCAACATACTGGAAAAACCACAGCACTGGCACACTCAACTTACAGGGAAAAGATCCTTTGAAAGATTCAGTATTGTGTGAACTGGAAGGCATGACAAGGACTCTGCAATCTCCGCTGGATTCAAAGATAAGACAGAACTATAGGTGTCTAGCGAATGAGGACTTGTGCTGCCAGCACCTTGCTCTTCCCACTCAAGCTCATCTGTGAATCTGAAATGGGACATGCTTTCTCCTAAGCAAAGAAAGCAAAAAGGAAAACATATTTTGAAGGCAATATGAAGCAGGAATTTTTCACGCTTGCAATATGTTAAAAATTACTTTCTAAAACTGTAAATTTAGTCAGTTCCGCTATCTCAGAAAGAAAAACAAACAAAAAGAAACAAAACCTAAAATGCACATTGGGTTCAAAGTCACTTAGATTTGCAGATTTGAGGGTCTGATCCATCTCAGCTCGGATCAATAATTTCTCTTTGACTGAAAAGCCATGCCACTTCTTTTGCTCCACCATGGTCCACGCTCTTATAGCTTCCCCTCGACATAACATTACAGAACCCCGGCAAACTGTTGCGTAGCGTGTAATCTAAAAGTTGAAGAGGAAGCGTGGCGACAATACCAGCTATGTGCCTTCACGTGACCGCAGACTCCCAACATGTAACTGAAAATAATGTGCAGGCTAGATCTACACCTGAACACATCTGTAATTTAGGCACCTCTCTCTCTCTCTCTCTCTCTCTCTCTC